TGCTATCACCTGCACAGAAATTGTCATGATATATCTAAGGCATCTTAGATGTTAAAATAACATGTTTTCTTTTCAAAGACTTGTCAGTGCACAAAACATTCTGGAAGAGCACTACAGGGCAGTTTTAACTATATGTTAATTATACTGAAAGTGACTTAGCTAATTTTAAACACTTATTTCATGACCACAGCATTTACGTGAGTGAAGAACTTCATTCTGAAGCTTTACCAGGAAGCATAATCATAACCAACTCAAATTTACATTGAAGTACAAAGTGGAGAATAAGACACAGGAAAATCTACAGGGGATACAAACTTTTAATTAACGAATATTAGGTACTACTGTCCAAATAACTGCAACTTAGAGAGTGCTTCTCAAGCAGTACAGGGATATTGTATGTGACAAGCAATTTGTGCAATTACTTCTAAATAATCCCACATTGCAACAAGGCAGTGTGTATGTTTCTGAGAGGAAGATAAACAAACACTAAATTTGAGAAGTCATATCATTCCACAAAATTAGGTAGCATATACTCTAGTTCATGAAAAAAACTGGCATGAATTATTTTGTTACCAATTTCCTGTAACAGCATGACACTTCCTGCAACCACCACAGCCATGTCATGCTGATTTTTGTTTGTATTGCAAAATTGAACCATCTCTCTCTGAATTCTCTGGATGATATTTGCCCACAGGCTGGACAGTTTCCTGCAACAGACACATGTAGAAGAGGAATATACTGTGCTTTATGGATTGCAACAAGTATTAAATGTTCATTTAGAAGAAAGCAGACACGGCCTAGCAGGGTTCAGATGGGCAAAAGACTATATGTTCATTTATATGGACAGTGAAAGAACAGATTTACTTCTTTCCTTAGGTACTTTGATGGTCTTGGTTTGTATGCCCAAGACACACTTTCAAAACCTGAGTTAGACTCAAGGCTAAATGTTTTTCTCAAGTGATCAAGATCTACAATGGGCAATTTCAAGTATCTTCTCAAGCACCTAAAGAACTTTTCAAGGTGTCTGCAACACCCTGAGAAGTTAAAGCAAGAATCACATTTTCTATATAACATTTTCAGACAGTTGTTTTGTGGGGTTTTTTCCTTATGAAGGAATTTATAGCAACAAGCTAAACATTTCCTCTTTTAATACTTGGAGAAAAGCTGTTCAAATGCTCACTTATTTCTATCTTACTGTTTCTTTAGTCTATATGAAACCTCAAAATATTTTTTTCTCCCCAGCTTCTCCCTTATATATCTAAACATGAGTAGACAAATTGTACAGTACATCTCTGACAGAGAAGTTGAGCCTAAGCAGCAAAAAGGGCACATCTTTTGCAGCATGTTGATGCACAAGTAGGAGAGAGGTCTGTGGCCCTGTTCAATTCCTTGAAAGTGGCATTGCAGGCTTTCTCCCAGCCTGGGATCCCATTTACCCGGCACAGACAGCCAACAGCTAATGCCAACTGGCTGCATCACAGGCTCTTTTCACACCAAGCCCGCATGCCAGGTGTTGTTAGACAAATGCATTCGGAAAGTGAATCAGCAGCCAATTCTGCAAGTCCTGCATGGAGCACAGGAGCCAGGGGCTGTCCACAGCTGTCTCTGTTGGTCCCTACACACTCGAGGAACTTTTGTGGCAAGGTCCTTCATTTAAACTTCTAGTGCAGGAGAATTGTTGCAGTACATAATTCAGGACTTGACCTTACAACCCAAGTCCCACAGAGCTATGGGAACTTGTACATGGATAAAAACATCCATCCAACATTCAACAACCTGAGCACAGTATTGCAAAAGTAACTGGGACAGTTCCATGCTAAGGCAGAACCTTGATGTCTTCAAACAATCTTCACCTCTCTTTGGAAACACACTGGTAGGAAAGGTTAAAAGATGCACATGAAATATACAAAGCTTGCTTTATGCACTTGTCAACTAGTTATGTTCTCTACTATCCCTCAGCCATGGGACATGATGGAATCCAAAGAGAAATGCATTTCTTTTTCTAGTTAGGTTAGCTGATCTCATAATACATATAACATGCATTTCCCTGGCATACTGATGGGAAAGGTATGTGCCTTCCATTCAGTATAAGTCAACTCTTTAGCATTATGTCCCCTCTTACTAACACGTGCAAAATGCAGAAACTATCCTAACAATAGCATTAATACAACCTGCCAAGGTGTCTCTCATCTTCCTATTTATATATGCCTATTAGATATTTCTTTACTTTTAGGGATATGCATTTTGCAGGAGTATTAGCGTTTAATAGAATTCCCCTTACTGGAGCAAGGTAATGAAACCTTGAGAGGTTACTGAGAGATACAGTTTCTCTGAAATGTTGGTGCTGTAGTTGCTACTTCCAGATCGAGGGCAAGTTTGCCCATGGGCTTCTGACAGCAGTAGTTAACACGAATTCTGGCAAAGACTCCAATTTCTCTTCAAAGACAAAGACTGAAAGGAGCTGGCACTGCTTAAAAATGTTGCTACAAAGACCACCTTTTCAAAAAAGATTTCATAAATATAATAATTTTTATTATATTTAACACATAAAATACATCTGCCAAGGTTTTAAGTTTATACCGTCAGCCTAATAGACAGACTCTAACTACACAGAATACTATGGCAGTGTGAGTAATTTATTTTCAGCCATTCTGTGGCTGCTTGAAGCAAGAATTAGTGGACAGAACAGAGAGATGAAGAATAGATTGGACATGAAAAGAAGATATCATTACATGAATGATGTTATTAATTTATAAATTTATCATAAAGATGTCTTACAAATTTTGTTTGTAAGTGATTATTCAAACATCCATCTTCATGGAAGTTAGCATGGACTATTTACTTGCTATCTTGGGTGTTATCAATACAGAATCCTCTAATTTGTCCCACTTATTTTCTATTGAAAAAAAAAAACAAACAGAGAATCTTATATTGAGAGGTGTTGTTTTCAGAAGGTTTTGGCATCTACTTCTATATTTAGATATCCTATACCTAGACAGATTGTATTCTCTGTCTGTGCCGGCTGTCAATCTAATTTTCCTACAATGTAATTTTCCTGCTCCTCTTCCTTAGACGTATATGGCAGAAACACCAATGACATGGTTGGTTTGCTTGTTTGTTCTTAAAGGTACATGTATGAATCCTGCTTGGTAGCCATCCCCTGAAACACTTCACAGTTTTTAAAAATTCCTCTCATCATTTCTAACGCTTTTAAATTACTTTAGTGACCTCTAAATTACTGCTCCAGTGCCCAAACACCCTCTGGGTGAAAAACATTTTTCTTGTGTCCATTGTAAATTTCCCCTGGCACAACTTCAGGCCATTCTCTCAGGTCCTGCCACTGGTCACCTAGGAGGAGAGATCAGTGTCTGCCCCTCCTCTACTACTTGTGAGGATGTTGAAGGCCCCAGTGAGGTCTCCTGCCAGTCTCCTCCAAGATAAACAAGTGACTTCAGCTGCTTCTCCTATGCCTTCCCCTCTAGACCATCATCTTCATGACCCTCCTTTGGACACTTTCTAATAGCTTTATAACCTTTGCACATTGCAACACCCAAAGCTGTCCCCAGCACTCAAGGTGAGGCTGCCCATCCCAGAGCAGAGCAGGACAATCCCCTCCCTTTCCCAGCTGGTGATGGTGTCCCATGCCAGATATTCCCCAGGACAGGGCTGGCCCTCCTGGCTGCCAGGGCACTGCTAACTCAAATCCAACTTGCCAGGGACCAGGACACCCAGGTCCCTTTCTACAGTGCTGCTCTCCAGCCCTTCATTCCCCAGTCTATCTGTACATCCAGGGTTGTCCCATTCCAGGTGCAGAATCTAGTATTTATCCTTGTTGAGCTCCATCGAGCTGGTGATTGCCCATCTCTCCAATTTTTTGAGGTCTCTCTGCATGGCCTCACCACCTTTGAGAGAGTCAACAGCTCCCCCCCATTTTGTATCATCTGCAAACTTAGTGTCCCTTCAAATCCTTTTTCCGAGTCATTTATGAAGATGTTGAAGAATACAGAGGTTAAAATGGAGCTCTGCGGAACCTCACTAGTTACCATTCTTCTGATCTTGCAAGACTCAAGCCCCAGTTTGAGAATCACAATTCTACTTTGGAAGTGACTATCATAAATAGTAAAAGGTTACCATACTACCAGAAATTAATTTCTGAAGTATGTTAGCAGCCAGGAGCATTGTAGTTATTATGTTCACTTACCAGTTGTATTGACCTTGGGAGTATTGTGCAATCTTTTACCAAAGCAACAAAAAGAGGTTCTTACAGTCATGTAACCCTTTCAAATTAATTATTTGGAATGGTGAAAAAAGCACACATTCATAATACCGACAGGATTTCCATCAATACATTGAAAATAAGACTAGCCCAAGATTTCTGTTTAAGATTACTTCTATTTTGATTTGTGCTTTGGTTTTTTGTTTATTTATTTACACATGATTTTTCACATAATGTTCCAGTAAAGAACAAATTTGCTACAAGGCAACTGTAAATCACTGTGAATTACTGAAAGATATCTAGAGAGAATAATTAGTAAGCTATCTCCTTTTTCTCCTAAGGTTGCAGCCCTTTTGTAGCTGCATAAAATTTTAACTTAAATATGATGGTTCATAGCTTGCCCTGAAATACCTGGATAAAAATTCAATGTATGCTCAAACACAAAAACTGCTAAATGGAAACACTATAGTGCTGATATTTTTATCTTCATCACTTCATGGAAGGACAAATCTTAACTGACAATTTATTAAAAAGGAAAACCATAAGAAATTAGGGATTTCCTAGTAAGGATTTCTGGATGCTTGAATGCAAGTGTTGTAATGCCTGAAAATAGATTATTACTACACACTCACTGGAGAATCTGTATGCTGAGAGAGAAGGAAAAATTATGGCAGGTCAGAAGACTGTGAAACATGTGCTCTCTTTTCTCCTACCCTCCCTTTAATTATTGACAGCCTGTCACTTAGGTGCCATGGTATGATGAATAATAAAAGAGGATCCAAGCTGCATTTCTCTCCAGGATTTATTCTTCCAAATCAAATACTGCCATCTTCAGGCAGACCATACTTCACGTTTACAAGTTCAAGGGTTTATTAGCTACTGAGGGGGTCATCACCTCAAACAAACAAAAACCTGGTTATTTTGAAGATCTTTCAGATTGATACCTTATATGAGATAATGAAGGGGATCTCCAAATTTTGCCTTCTACATGTGGGAGTAAGGTTACCACTACCTAAACATACCTAGATGTTATTTTGGGCAAAATATTAATGAAGCCATTCAACTATTTCCCTTGTTGTAATGAGAGACAGGCAGTTAAGATTACAGCTGTACAAGAGACCCTGACTGCTAAGCACTTCCAAGTATGCATACTGTGCATTGCCAACACACAGGCAGGTCATTGTGGAAGCAGAGTGTAAACTAATGCAATTCAATGGGTTGAAATTACGTGTCATATTTATGTTTTTTTCCTTCCAGCAAAGTAGAACTTTAAGGTGACATTGGAGCCTCAGATGATTATATCTGCAGAACAAATAAGAAAAGGCAAAATAGCCATGCAAACAGATAATTCACAGTATATACTACCCAAATATTCACCAGAGTAGTGACATTCACCTTCCTTTCCCTCTTGAAGTGCCCTGAAATTGAAATTCAGTCATGAGAATCACAGACTCCATTCAACCATGAGAATCACATGAAGAATTAGACAATACAATGGTTGCAATGAAGACTATGACTTACAAGATATCAGTAAGTAGCCAAGCCTTTCATTTAAACACTACTGATTTTGGCTGAGGTAGAGTTAATTTTCTTCACAGTGGCTGGTATGGGGCTGTGTTTTGAATTTGTGCTGAACACAGAGTTGATAATACAAAGATGTTTTCGTTATTGCTGAGGAGACATTGCACAGGGCCCTTTCTGCTTTTCACGCTGCCATGCTGGCAAAGAGGCTTGTGGTGAGTGGGTGGTTGGGGACACAGCCAGGACAGGTGACCCCAAACTGACCAAAGGGATATTCCACACCATGTGACATCAGGCTCAGTGTATGAAGTGTGGGGAGGAAGGAGGAAGGGGGAATGTTTGGACTGATGGTGTTTGTCCTCCCAAGTCACTGTTAGTGTGATGGGGCCCTGCTCTGCTGGAAATGGCTGGACACCTGCTCAACCATGGGAAGCAGGGAATTCATTCCTTGTGTTGCTTTGCTTGTGTGCGAGGGTTTTGCTTTCCCTATTAAACTGTCTGCATGTCAACCCATGAGTTTCGTAGCTTTGACCCTTCTGATTCCCTCCCTGATACTGTTGGTGGGGCAGTGAAAGACTGTCTCCATGGGGCTGGGCTGCTGGTGGGGTTAAACCACGACAAACACTGAGACATATTTTTAAAAATTTCCTACTAGAGTACAGTAGTTTTATTTAATTTTTTCATAATAGGAACTGCTGTTGTTCTTATGGTTCTGGCAGGATATGGTATTTGATATATATAAATACTGTATTTAGTGCAAACACAACAGAACACCAGCCAAAAACAACAACAAAAAACCATCAAGAACAGCCAGATCCTGACTGCCATTTTCAATTAAGTATGCAAGTCAGTTAAAATTAGACAGACTTTTTATATTCCTTAATATTCTACAAAGGAAAAGGATATTAAACCAGAATTTGATTAGACTCAAATTCTAGATTATGTCCTTACAGATTTCATGAAGTTTCACTTTTTGGTTGTGCTGTGTCTGAAACTGGCATCTGTTAATAGGTGTGAGCTCTTTGATTTCAGAGAACATCTTACCTCATCTCTATGCTGGAAAATTCTTCTGTATTTTCATATGCAGCCTTGGTGTTGGGGAACTTATCCTTTAAAGTATTCCTCCCACCGTCCAAAGAATCAGTTTTTCCAGAAGAACAGTATCTTTAGAAATTTTATGATGCAATTCATCAAACATATAATGACTTCTGAAAACTTGCCAACTTTTCCACCGAATCCTCAAAAATACAAATCTCCCACACTGCACAGATGAAGTCTCTATGTTTACAGGATAAGGGCCATAAGGCATTAGTCTGCTCAAATTGTTTTGTCTCTGGGTTTACTGTAAGAGGCAGTCTGTTTAACTATTTTTCTAAATGTACACTTGAAAGCAGAGGCTGAAGGAAGATAACTGCTCTCTCCTTTTTTATCTTTCCTCCCTTCCCTTTTTCCTCACTCCTATGCCTGTAGTTCCTTATCACTGCTCATCCAGTGCAGCACAGTTGACACTCTCTCTCTTTGCTGTTGCCAGCAACTACATATTCTTCTCTGTGGCAAAATCAGCCAGGAGGAAGGGTACTTTCTCCATCTCCAGTCCTCTGCCTGAGCAAAAGCAAGAATAATCCAGGGAGTGGGTTAACCTCATCTAGTCTTTTAGCTGAAGAGATTTATTCTCCACCAGCAATACCTTACTGTTCCATAGTGGTGCACTTTTGAGATTGATAAAAATTGTAGATCTTCGGGAATGGAGAACTGTGGAACATCTCTTCACACCCCTGTAGACCAAGGGCACTGTCATGGTGCAACTCCAGCCCGCAGCTGAAACCCACACAGCCCCTCACTCACTGCTCCCTGAGGGATGGGGGAGAGAATCAGATGGGTAGTGATGAGAAAACTCCTGGATACAGGTAAAAGCAGTTTAATAGGTAAATGTGCAAGCAAAGCAAAAAAAGGAGCTCATTCCCTTCCCATGGGTAGGCAGGTGTTCAGTCATTCCCAAGAACACAGGGCTCCATCACATAATAGTGACTTGGAGGAAAAACGCCATCACTCTGAATGCCACTATATCTCCCTTCATCCTCCTCCCACTTCACTGCACATGGTCTGTGGTATCCTGTCCCTGCTGAGTTCTCTCCCAATTTCTTGTTCACTGGTAGGATGGAGAGAGAAGCAGAAAAAGCCCTTGGATCTCTGTAAGCCCTTCTCAGCAATAAACAAAATATCCATGAACTGTTTCAGTCACCAATCAAAACATAGCCCCCTACAAACTACTGTGAAGAAACTTAGGTATATTCCATGTAAAACCAGCACAATAGCGGAACAACTAGGATTTTACAAAATAACTTTTTATCTTTTCCTAAAATCAAGATGGAAATTCTGCTATTTCCTTCCATCTATTTCATAATGGCATTCCTAACATGGCATTTCAAAGCTACTGATATTAAGCAAGCAATGCTATGCAAAGGGAATAAACATACCAAATCACACAGTGACTTCCTAAGTCAATGAAACTAATTCTACTTTAAACTTACCTAAGTTAAATAACTACTATCTCCCAACACTGGCAATATGGCCAAAGATTATAGACCCAGTTTTCTAAAGGTCAGTCCTCAAATACAGATAAACATGCACTTAAGGGGCATCAGGACTAGATACAACATGGTAACTTAAAAAATTTATTGTTCCCTTGCAGTTCAAACTTAATTACCATACTTATCTTCGGTCACCAGTCTTTGTGGCCTATTTAAATATGCATAGATATAAGAATGAAAAATGTCATAATCTATTGCAATGCTGTGTGTGTAATAAACCCTTACTATCATAAATTGAGGGGATTTTACTGCTTAATTTCGAGACTAAGCTGTAGTAGCTTTCAGGAGTCTCACATTACTGGTTTTATGACTTCTAGCTCCATGAAATACAAGTAGTGCTAATGAAGAAATGAACTGTTAGTTACATATGCATTCTGACATTATGTAGTGAAGATTTCACAGGTGATATTTGATCATGTAATATTTTATTCTGCTTTTTTTTTTAACTCTTCAACAGGTGGTTACTGTGCTTGTCTTCCATGAAGCAACAGTGACACTCAGTGTTAAAACCCTTGCATAGACCAGAAGAACCCTTCTGCTTCCTTTCTCATCATTTCTCACCATTCATTTAAATTACAATAGTAATTTAAAATCTGTTTAGCTCTTGCAGACTGTTAGAAAAAGAACAGTTTACCATCTTGAAAAATGAGCTAAACTCTGCCTCTGTGTTTGTATCTAAAAAGTTATGCCTAGATTATTAAAAAAAACAAAAACCAAAGCTTCATTATGGTACTTACATCATTCTCTTTTTGAATGAGATCTTGATTAGACTGAATTGCATAGTTCAGAAATTGAAGTGGGTGGTGTTTTGGGAGAAGTATGTTTCAAATTCAGATGGAAGACTGAAAACAACAGAAAGAATTTCTCCTTCTGCCTACAGATATTGCAAATCTTTGGGAACATTGAATATCTATTTGATTGAAACAGCTAAACATAAATATGTAGATTTACGTAATAAAGACATTTGAAAACAACTGGGATGTGGTAAAGTTTATCTGTGGTCACAGGTGGTGAAGCCCTGTCCTGCCCTGCCTGGTGCCCTGACTCCCACGGCACTCTGACAGCATAATTACCTTGGAACTTGCCTACTGCTGTGATAAAAAGTTTATACATGCAGCAATTTCAGAAATACTGTAACTTCTGATACACATTGTGTCTGCTAATGGTGGCTTTACAGCTTTACAAAGTAATTCTGGGATACCAGTGGCATAAAAATCTCCTTTTATAACCAGGTGACCCATCAGGTGCAGGAGAGAAACACTGTGGATATCATCTGCCTGGACTTCAGCAAACCTTTGATACCATCTCCCCAGAAAAGCTGGCAGCCCACAGCTTGGACAGGTGCACTCCTGGTTGGGTTAAAAACTGTTTGGATGGCTGGGCCCAGAGAATGTTGGTGAATGGTGCTGGATCCAGCTGGCCTCTGGTCACGGGTGGTGTCCCCCCGGGATCAGTGTTGGGCCCAGCTCTGTTTAATATCTGAATTGATGACCTGAATGAGGGGATTGAGTCTAACATTAGCAAATTCACAGACTACACCATTTTGGGTGTGTCGGTCAGCTACAAGGCAGGAAATCTCTGCAGAGTGATCTGGAAAGCGGGATTGATGGGTAGAGGCCAATGGTCTGAGGTTGAACAAGACCACAAAAAAGCCCTGTGTTACTACAGGCTGAGGCTGAGTAGTTGCCTGGTGGAAAAGACCTGGGGGTGCTGGCAGACAGCAGCTGAACATGAGGCAGCTGTGCCCAGGTGGCCAAAATGGCCAAGGCCGTGCTGGCCTGTGTCAGCCATAGTGGGCCAGCAGGAGCAGGGTGGTGACCTGTGCCCTGTGCTGGGCACTGCTGAGGCCACATCCTGCATCCTGTGCCCAGCTCTGGGCCCCTCAATCCAGGAAGGCCGTGGAGGGGCTGGAGTGTGTCCAGAGAAGGGAAAAAAGCTGGGAAAGGATCTGGAGCACAAGTCTGATGAGAAGCAGGTGAAGACTATGGGTGCACTTAGCTTGGAAAAAAGGAGGCTCAAGGGGTACCTTATTACTCCCTGCAACTCCCTGACCCGAGGCTGTAGCCAGGTGGGGTGTCTTCTCCCAGGGAACTAGTTATAGGACTAGAGGACAAAGTCTTAAGCTGCTTCAGGGGAGATTTAGCTTGAACACTGGGAAAATTTCCTTCACAGAAAGGATGATTAGACCTTGGAATGAGCTGTTCAGGGAGATGGTGGAGTCACTATTCCTGTAGGTGTATTTTCAAGGAAAAGCTGGATGTGGCACTTAGTGCCATGGTCTGCTTGATATGGTGTTGTTTGGTAAAAGGTTGGATTTGATGATTTCAGAGGTCTTTTCCAAACTAATGGATTCTGTGATTATGTAATCTACTTGAAGGGAAAACAATCATACCAAATATACTTACACCAAGTACAATTGTTGTTTAACCTTAACTGGCAACTAAGAGAAACACAGCTGCTCAGTCCCTCTCACTCGCCTACCCTAGTGGGATAGGGAAAGAACTGGAAGTGTGAAACAAACTCATGGACTGAGGTAACTAACAGCAGTTTAATAAATTAGAAATAGTAATAATGAATTGCAAGGAAAAGAGAAAAATGAAAACAAAACAAGGAGAAAAGAAATAAAACTCAAGAAAAACAAGTAACTAAAATGAAAAAAAGAACAGCTGGGGTTATACCATGTCAGTTGTTTTGGCACCCAGTGTAGTGCATGAAGGGTTGGAATAACGGCAGATTTGATTTGAATGTGCTACATTGAATTTGTAGGTGTTACTGCTGTTTAGCTATTAATTGGCAGGCTACTGTGCTTGCCATGGGGCTCGCTTCCCTGTCTGTCTGCTGGAACCCAGCGCTTGTTAGCAGCTGCTCTGATTTTGCTGCTGGCTACACTGCTGGTCACCTCAGCGTGTTGTGCCTGGGAACACTGGTGACAGCCATGGCAAAGTGCCTGGGCTGGAGGGTGCTCAGGGCAACCTGTGCTCCTGTGCTACTGTACAGGATAGGCGGGAACTCCAATGGGAACTTGAGCCCAAGAGACTCCGACCTGTGGAGGAGTCCACTGTGGAGTACAAAACCACTGGCAGCCCATGGAAGATCCCACGCTGGAGCAGGTGGATGTCCAAAGGCACATGTGACCCCATCAGAACCCTATTCTGGAGCAGGCTCCTGGCACGGCCTCTGGACCCATGGAAGGGCTCCACTCTGGAGCAATTCTTGAAGTATTGCAGTCTTTGTGGGAAGGACACGCACTGAAGAAGTTGAAGGCAGCCAGTGTTTATTCTGAGTTCCGATTGGTTTGACTTGGACTTTCATCTTCTTTTAATGTTGTTTTTGTTTTTCCTTATTGAAATAAAATTCTGCAGTCTGTGGGAGGAGAGAGTGTGTGAACCATCACTGGCAGGCAGCTGTGACAGCCACAAACCAGTGGCTAAGGCACAAAGACAGATTTTATATCCATTACCTTGCTAACTGGAGGAGCCCTGAAGCAACACCTGGGGGACACAAGTGCAGACCAGGCACTGTTAAACTCAGTCTATGTAAGAAGATTACTGGCCTGCTGTTCACACAGTCTCATCAAGAGTTACTTCCAGCTGAATTCTGCTTTTAAGTCATTCTTCCAATAGAGCAGAGAAGGCCTTGCCAATTTTTTTGCAAAAATTTGCTGTGGTTTATATTGATGAAGCTCACTGAATTATAAATCCAAACAAAACATTCTATTGCTCTGGTTTCATCCAAAGGTATATTTAGTACTTTTCTCATAGGAAACATTTTTACAGAGCTGCTGAAGACTAATAATAGAGGGAGCAAACAAAAATAATAGCAGCAAGGATATTTTAATTCTAGCATAACTCATCCCTGGGCAAAAGGCCAAAACATGTGCTACACAATATAAAATACTGTGTATTTCTTCTTCTGCTCTTTGCTATTTAATATTAGTACTGAGCTGTATATACTCTAGCTATAACTTGCCTTCTCCATCCCCAAACACCTTTTATTAAAGACAAAGTTGCACATACATGTAAACTACATATCTAAGCCTATAAAGCTAAGTCAACTGTTTAGAACTGAATGCTGAAACAAATTGCTTTTGCTAGGCCCTAAGCAGAGTCTTAACTAAAACAGTGCAGCCTCCAGCAAGGATTTGCACACGAGGGCACCTGCATTGAGGTTCAACACACTGCACTCAGAGATGAGTGTCTGCAGGAGGGCAGAGGGGGTCAAAAGTCCCATATCAGCGCTGTTTCTGGATGTACCATGAATTAAAACAGCATAAAATGAGTATTTTCTGGAAAGTGTTGGTGGGAAGATGATGTTTACAGAGGAAAACTTGGAAGACTCCTCTTGGTGGTCTCTAAGCTTATGTTGCTTTGCCACTGCAAAACCTCGGGCATTGTCCTGTATATAACATGAGACCAATGGGCAAGGGTCTTCACACATTTGCCTACGAAGTCTAGCACAAAAAAAAATTTATTTCAGTTACTCAAAAATATGTATTTTATACGTCTTATGTGTATATACATGTAAGGCAATGAGCTAAGGGAGGGGGTCTAGCAGAAGCCACAAAGATGATGACGGGGTGGGAGCACCCTTCTTGTAAGGGGAGACTGCAGGAGATGGGCTCGTTTAGTTTAGAGAACAGTAAAAGGGGTTCTCAGTAATGTGTATAAATAAATATCAAAGCCAGTGCCAGCAAGATGGTGTTAGTCTCTTTTCAATGCTGCCTAATAACATGACAAGCGGCAGTGTCCATAAACTAGAACACACCACCTCAAGAAGAACGCCACATTCAGGGTGGCAGAACACCACAGCAGCTAGGCCGTGGCGTCTCCCTCTCTGAGGACACTCCAAACCCACCTGAACGCGATCCCGTGGTACCTACTCCAGGTGACCCTGTCTGAGCAGGAGGGTAGGCCGACATGATTTCAGAGGTGCCTTCCAACCCCTAACGCTTCTGTGCTAACGCATACACGCATCTATTACACGCGTACGTGCCGTATGCGCTCCATAGACCCGCGTTCACACAGTGAGCTCACTGCTGTGACACCCACCCGCGGCGGAGCCTCCCCGGCCCAGCGCGGCCGCAGGCGGCAGCAGCGCCGGCCCCCGGAGCGCCGCCCCCGCTCCCCGGGGGAGGTCAGGCCGGCGGTAGCGGAAGCTTCTCCCTCCCTCCCTCCCTCCCTCCCTCCCGGCGTCCCGGAACCAGCTCCGCCGCCACCGCCTCCTGCTCCGGCCCGCCGGCAGCATGTCAGCTCCTGGCGCCGCCTCCCGCAGGTAACACCCGCCCTTCCGCTGCCGCCGCTTCCCCTCCTATATGGGCCACCTGCTCTCGAAGGAGGCAAGGAGCCTAAGTCGGGACCGCCGCCGCCCACGGGGGAAGGTGCCGCCGCCGCGCAGCCGGAGCTGCTTCCTGCGCGGGCCCTGCATGCTCTGCTTCATCGTGCACGGCGCCAGCCCGCCCGCCCCGGAGCAACCGCTGCCCGCCGGGGAACCGCTGCTGTTGCCGCCGCCGCCGCCCTACGTGTCGCTTACCGCCGCAGAGCAGCGCGTCGCCCGCCGCCTCCTGCGCCTGGCGCCCGCCGCCTGGGAACCTCCGGGCCGCTGCCAGCGCCTCTTCCTCTCCGGCCTGCTGCCGTCGCCGGTGCGGGGCCTCCTGGGGCCGCCCGGTGAGGTCTCCTCCGAGATGGTGTGCAAGCGCAAGGGGGCCGGGCTGCCCGCCTGCCCGCCCTGCAAGCAGCCGCGCTGCGCCGCCGCCGAGCCCGAGCCCGGCGCCTGCCAGTGCCCGGCGGAGCCGCAGCTGCTCGCCCTGCCCGGCGCCGCGGGGGAGAGCGGCGGGGCCACCGGCGGGCAGAGCAGCGGGGGACAGCCCGCCTCGCCGCCGCCTCCCGAGCCCCAGGACGAGACGGAGCAGGGCCGCCAGGAGGAGACGGAGCGGGGCGGCGAGGCGGGCTGCGAGGAGCCGCTGGAGTACCCCGGCGACAGCTGCCGGGAGCTGCCGCCGCCGCCCACCCCTGACATCAATCAGCTGCCACCTTCCATCCTCCTCAAGGTAGGTCGGAATGGGGGGGATGGACGGGCGGGCCCGCTCCCTGAGGATTTGGGAAGGAGCTGTGCCAGCCCCCGGGGCGGCGGTGTCTCCGGGCGGGTTCGGTGCGGGGGATAGCCGGAGGAGGCCGGGCGCTGAGGGGCTTTGGGGAGATAGGGTTCTGGGGGCCTCGTTTGCTTTTTGTGTCCCGTTCCCCGACCCCATTCGGTTGTCGTTGGAAATGGCGTTATGAGCCGTTACCTAGAGGTGCAGACACACAAATCAGCTCCAGAGGCTGTTTCGTAAATGTTTTGACTGTACTCGTTAACTTTGTAAGGTGCCCTTCACAAGTCGACTTTTCCTTGCATCACTGGTGTAGTACTCGCCAAGGGGGCCTGTCACTGTATTTAGTGCTTCCGTGGGTGTTGGAGCTACGTAAAGTTTTCAGTGTTGATTATTAAACTGTTTGTGTTGCTTTGTGGATCAATTTTTGCGTTAGTAGTTCGACAATGTTTGCACCCTTCTTGAATTACATGCTTTCGTAACCTCTTACGCTGTATATCCAAGGAGCAGTCTCACCTCTCCTGTCCCTTTTGCTCTCATTCTGTTTCTTTAATACTGCTCTCCATTGGAACTGCTTTCCATTTTTAAGCTACTCTCTTGACCACTGTGCTGACTTCCTTCAGCTAAACATTAGCTAAAAAGTTGGAACTGATCTGGTGATGTTTTCCACAGTCTGATGTGAGCATGCCTTGCAATTTTGAGGAACAAGTTTTCAGGATTGCAGGAGTTTCTCAAATGTCAGATGGCAGAACTTAAAGCAGGACATAATAGTGGAGGAGTGAGAGACAGGACTCTTGGTGTTCATACTTCGCTAGTTGTACATCCAGTGTAGGAAGTACTTCCTTTACTCTTTTGTTGTCAAACAGTAACAACCTACTTATCTATCTGTCTTGAACATAACATGAATTCTGTGGGAGGTTTAGTTGATTTGAGGGGTTTTTGTTGTTCGTTGTTTTTGTTTGGTTTTTTTTGTTTTTTTTAAATACTCATAAGTGAGTTAGTAATGGTATGCCATGTTTCATAGATGCAGTATGCAAATTAATTCTAGGCAAATAGGAGCACTTGAGCTATCATCTGAATTAATCTCATCTGTTAATCTCTCTGATTGCAAAATTGAAACTTTGTCTTGTAGTTCTAGAAGGGAATCCATTTGTTTGCCACTGTTATTGGAAGATAACTTTTTTTGGATATTTGGTTTTAGGATTTGAAACTGGACTAATTTGATTAGTGTAGCTGAAATACTTTTTAATCAATGGTGTGAGTACTTTTCCATGGTTACTTTTAGTACTTTGTTTCACTTTTTCAAAAAAACCTATGTATAACTGCCATAACTTTAATGTCATGTCCATCTTACCTGTGGACTAGTTTAACTGTTATTTAATATCTGTTTTATATAGACCCAGTATTTCATTCTTACCTGTGCTTTCAAGACTGTGGAGATTTTGTGTATATTTTTATGAACAAGGCATTTTGTTTTAACTCCAACTGGCAATTAGGTACCAGGTAGCCAGTCACACCCACATCCACAGACTGATTGGGTGGAGAATTCAGGGGAAAAAAGTCTATCTTGTGGGCTGTGATAAGAACAGTTTAATAAATGAAGAAAAATAAAGTATGCTAACAATGCTTGTATAAAAAAGAAGAGCAAGAGAGATTGAGGTGATGCACAATACATTTCTTTTGTACCAGCTGCAAAGCACTCTACCAGCAGCTGAGAAGAATTCTATCCTAGCTGAAATCAGGACGGACATCTACCTTTCTCAGTGTTTTTGTCTCTACAGTTGCCCTCTACAATGTCTTTAAAAAAATAGGCCATTATTTCCAGCACCGTGGTAGGAGCTAACCTACTCACCCCCAAATTTGCTGTTCAATCCATAGTTGTACTAACCAGTTTGGTTTGTGGTTTTGGTTTTTTTGATATTATGTCTATATCTGTTGGGTAGTTTGTTTTCTTAAAAGAGCCGAGCAGTTATTACTTGCTATAAAGTTGTTTATTGTTAAAGCATGTCAGTTTCAAAAGGCAGAAAGTTCAAAGCGTTAAAGTCCATGCTAAAAGCTTTTGGCAAAGAGTCACAATTAGAAATAAAATCCCGATTCGAATTAGCTCCTGGTGCAAAGCCCCAAGAAGGCCGAAGTTGCAGCCTAGTACAGAATCCTGAGCAGAGACGGACACTGTGGCCTGGTACAGAGTCTCGAGAGGCAGATGCTCTCTGGTTTTCTCTTCTTCTGTTCTTTTTCTTCCTCTTCTTCATGTGGTGGTAGTGATGATGATGATGGTAGAGGGAGAGAGAGCTCTCACTCCAAAACAGATTCTTATTTACAAGTTATCCAATAAGCTAAAACGACGAATCTGAAGCATTTCTTCTAAACATATTAGAATTCTAGTTTCTTAGTAGAAAGTTTACATATAATCTATGTATATGGCCTGTCTGTTCTATCTGAAAAATGTAAGCAATATTCTTACTATATTTTTATTATGTCTAAAACTGTGTTTTGGAGCCTTCATGGAGACTTGTTTTTAAGACTTATTTTCTACACTGGTAGAAAACTACTAGGACTATGTTTTTCAGCTCTTACTGAAACTTGTTGATCTCTCTCTGAGGAACTCAGAGACGCCTCTGTTTCAGACTCCGATATATATATGTACAAGACACGTGTATCTGTCTCCTAACTATTCAATTGTTTTTTGGTTGCTTCCAAAATATACTACTCTGTTATGGAACTTTTAACTTCAGATGTCTAACCAGGCATCCTATCAACTGGATTTATATTTCCCTTCTTATGAGGGATTTTGATACAGACAGAATATCCTAAATATAATCCTTTCTCCAAAGGTGTTATTTTGTTATGAGAGGATATGTTTGGGAAGACAAATATATCCAAAATCTTTACTGAGATTTTTACAGTAGAAGACACAAACCTTCATACAAGGACAAGAGATTCCATCCTGGGAAGCATCAGGAGACAGAGCCTGATGTTTTTCGTTTTTTTTCTTGATTCCCACGTCTGACCTTCTGATGCAGTGGTGCTAGTGCAGCAGTGGCTGTCGCCAGTGTCTGTAAGCAGCCTCAAGACAAGGCCAAGGAAATATGTCAGGAACTCCTTTAGTAAGAGCTTGTCTGCTTAGGGGCTCTTTTGCTGTTTACAGCCTCTAAGCCGAGGGTTTGGGATGGGTGGAAGGGTTTGTCGACTGAAGTTGGCCTGCAGATCGTTAGATGGGCCCTGCTGGATTTGGAGGTTCATGATGCAGTGTGCCAGTTAATCCCATTTCCCTGGCTGGTGAAAGGTATCCTGGTCAATATGAAGCACCAAAAGAATGGTGCTTCCACAGTCAGGTTTTGCTTTTTGCTTTTCATTTTGATGCTGAAACATGTATGAAAACAATGTTCTATAGTGGGCAAAAATCTTTAGTCTTGGTAGAGGAGGGTGATTACCTTTGACTAAAGGGTAATTTTAAAGCCATTCTCTTTAAAACTCAAGGGGAATCAAGGAATTATAGATCAGTCAGCTGTAGGTAGCTCAACTGTGTCCTAGATATGCATGAATGAGAAAAAAAAGGGACCTGATTCTAAGCATGCATTACAGAAAATTAGAAAATCTTCTGCTGCATATGACTAAGTTCTGAAAACTTTGAACTGTATGTGACAAATCTGTGCCTGTTGAAGTGCTACTTATTCCTGGAAAATAAAATAGAAAAATAAATCTTCCTGTTGTACCTGTTACTTCTTTGCAGTGCTGCTGTTTAATCAAAAAAGGTGTAAAATGCTCTGTGGACTGAGCCATGAACTTACGAGAGAATGCCAATTCAAACACTTCAGATTTCCTTTTGAGGTGTATTGACAGGAGTTCTGCCTGTGAAACACAGAAAGGAAGTTCTCTCCTGTGCCTGGTGCTTTTAAAGCCTCTGCTAGAGTACTGCATTAGGCTGTGGGCGCTGGGATCTCCTTAGAAAATCCACACACGAATGTGAGAGGCGTCAGGGGAGAGCCAGAGGTCGTGGAAAACATGGTCTATTACAGTAGTTGGAAAATTCTGGACTAACTGAATGACAGTTGTTCAGAAAGAAGATTGAGATGCAGTCTTTACTTAAGAGAAAATTGATAGAAGGTTCAACTGTCTTCCTGTCCCTTGTTGAATAGGAGGAAAAAATAAGCTTAATTTGGGTGAGATACTTAAATGTTAATACACTGTATCATTTTCCGGGTCTTGGCAACAGTGGTTTCCCCTCTCTTAGATTATGTGACAACTTGGGTTTTCTATGTATTAATTCTTTTTTTAGCATCAGGGGGAATGCCTTTATCAGGAATATTTGGGGTGTGCTTGAAGTTGCTTCAAAACAAAAGCATCTAGAATAGATTGTCTTCATTTTGAGGTCCTCTTTCTCAGTTTGCTGGTCTTATTTTTATAAAGCATGATCATGTGCCTGTAGCACAGACCCTGTCAATTTTGTCTTAGGGCTAATGCACTATAAAGAGGAGATTAGAGGACAGTTTGGTTTCTGAGAGTAAAAACATTGTGAGCTCGTGCAAGTAAAGCGACTCTGCTTATTGGTCAGGACTCTTCCATTAGGAGGACAGTAATTTCTTACAGACAAATCTAATGTTGTGTTTTGCCTTGCAGCTAAGGCAATCTGTGAGTAAGTGACTGGTAAGGGCAGTGTCTGCCTCCCTTTGTAACTTCTGGCTGTGTGTTTCTGCCACTGGCTTTGTGCTCTGTAGAGTGATCCTGCAATTGCAGGATGAGTAAATTCATCTGGCTAATCTGACACCAATCTAATGTTGCAAAACTTTTCCTTAGGATCAGCTGCCTGACAAGACTTTCTCTTGTACAGTCACTAAATCCAGTGCTAAAATTCAAGTGACTGGAAGTAGGGGACTGGGAAATGGTTGCTATGAATGGCAGCTTGCCAAGAGAATCCTGTCTATGATGTGAAATTGCACTGTCACTTTTCCTGGCTGGCA